GCGCAGCGGGGCGCCCCACCGGGCGCGGAGCCGGGCGCGGTCGGCGGCAGCGGGAGCGCGGCGGCGGCGGCGGACGGGGCTGGGCAGAGGCTGCCCTCTCGGCTGGGGAAATCCTTTCCGGATCCTGTAAGTTTGTTACGGGCAGGCGGAGGTCCCGCGGGGCAGTGCCCAGGGGGTGCGCGGCCTCCCCCTCCTCCCCCCGGGCCCTTCCCCACCCCCGCGCTGGGTCCCGGGGTCCGGGGCCGCGCAAGGCGGGGTCCCTCTGCTCTGACGATGGCCGTCTTCTCCAGGCCGGGGAACCTGCCGTCCGTTTCCAGTCAATCTTACTTGGTCCCACATGATTTATTGTTTCAGCTGCTAGAATGACATGTGGCTCTGCAGGGCAGGGGAGCAACCCTCCCCTTCTCCCCAAAAACCTCCCCCCTAAACAAACCCGGGCAAGCCAGTGCTCTCTTCTGGAGGGAGCCCTATCAAGTTGTGTGCGTGTGTGTGTGTCGGGCTGCCAACCTGAAGGACTTTTCTAGGGAGAGGAAGGGAAGCGGAGAGAGAAGCTCTTTTATTTCACTGCTTGTTTTGATGGTCGCTCCCAGGAGGCTGCGATTTTCTGCTGCCTAGTTAGTGCCCCTTAATCCTGACTCGGGAGTGACTCAGTCGACGCTTGCAGGCGCTGATTTTTTTGGTTTTTTTTTTTTATTTTTTTTTTTTTTTTATCGGGGGAGGCAGTGGTTCAGACGGGGCTGGGGCGTGGAGGTCCAGGTACCGGCGAGAGAAAAATGCAGCACTGCGGCCGCGGCGAGGGGGAAGCCAAGGGGTGGGGGGAAAGGGAGAGCCAGGAGCAGGTAAAGGAGAACCCATCGCCTTGGTCTTGTTAGGCTTTCTATATTTTTAATACAACGATTTAATGGGATTTTTTTGAGTCTTGAAGGGCAAGCGCTGACAAATCTGTACGGATGCTATCTTTAAAAACACATCTATCTTCCTCCTTCCTTCCTTTCCTCTTTCTTTCTTTCTTCCTCTCTTTCTTTAGTCACGATTTCCCGGGATAAATGAATGCGCATTTGATGGGTGTGTAAGATGTGGCCCATCCGGCTCCCGTAACAGAGCTCTGTGGATGCGGTGCGTGCTGTACCGGCCGTGATAACAAACAAGTGGCAAGTGATGTTTTTTTTGGTTGCTTGGATTGGCTTAAGAAGTCGAGGGGGTATTTAATTAGTGGTCCAAAATACTGCTTCAGCTTCCAAGTTAAACTTCCGGGGACCCCTCCCACGCTTTATTTTGCATAAACACCGAGGCTGGATGAGGGAAACGTGAAATACCAGCAAATTTTAAATTACTTAAAAAAAAAAAAAAAAAAAAAAAGTGAGAAAAGGAATCCAGCTCTCCTCCGCGGTGAGGTGACTGCTTGGGAAGCAGAAAACTTTCCCGAGGAGGTGAGAAAGCCGCAGCTGCCTCCTGGCTGGGCTGGGCTGCTTTCCCCCATCCCTCTGGATCTGCTGGCAGCTCCCGCCAGTCGAAAGTTACCTGCTCTGCAGCAGAAGCAGCCGTACAGTCGCTTGCTCCTGAATTAAACACAACTCTTAATGATGTAGCATTATCAACAAGGGACACTTGATTGACTGATCTAGGTATGATATATGTGCTTGGCGTCTAAATTAAATATTAAGTGAAATACTTAGCTCTAATTAGAAATCGTAACCTAGCGATGAAAACTTGAAGAAACAAATTGCGGGGGG